AGACCTATCGATTGCCTGAACCCGGATCAAGTGCATAAGCTTCCATTAGGAACAATTGAATTTGCAATACAATATCAGAAAAATATCAAGAAAGTTAAGGAGAATATCATAAAGGCACAACATCATATAATAGAACAGGCGAACAAGCGCAGGAAACCTTCTCAATTTGTTGTAGGTGATCTGGTATGGGTTAAGTCTAAAGAGTTCGTTCTTGAAGAGAACATATCCCAAAAACTGCTACCAGCCTACAGAGGACCTTGGCATGTTCTAGATGTGATTGGAGACGTAGATGGACCTTCTTACGTGATTGAAATTCCTCTACATTTGCATACGTATCCAGTGTTTCACGCTTCAAAGCTCTTACCTTGCGTGACGAATGAGTTATTTCCCAGTCGCAGATCGGCGATACCTCCTAGTATGGATGGGAAATATGATGTGGAYAAGATTGTTGCTGAAAGTACTCTTCAAACTGGACGTAGAGGCAAACCCCAGCGGGAATATAAAGCAAGATTTGCATATCAGGACCCAAGTGAGGATCGCTGGTTCACATAGGAAGAATTGATTGAGTCCGCACCTCATATCGTATCTGCTTATGAAAGAGCCAGAAGAGGAATAAGTATCATAGATAGATGAAGGTTTTCTCAGAGGACTTCGAAACTAGGGCGGTGAGAGTAAAAGGGCCTTTACCCGTTCAAACCCTGAATGACGAACACAACATAATGGGGCCCACTTGGCCAGAGTTCAATTCGTGAAAAGTATATCAAAAGACATATCCTCTGGGTTAAAAGTCACATCCTAACTTAAGTGAGAAGTTGTGTCAAGTGTCACAGTCGTGCCCCAGGCCGAACAGTTGCAACATTCAATTGTGAGAGTCATGTCTGTTCGTCCAGGGGGCTGTGCAAGTCGTGTTTGTTCGGGCAGTAAATGTGTCTGTTCGTGCAGTAGGTGTGTCTGTTCATAAAGAAGTCAAAGAGATAAGGTCCCATTCTAGACCCAAGTCAAAGAGGGAGTCTAGATGTAGTCTGGAAGTCCGAAATTCAGGCCTAAGGGCCGCAGCAACAGCAGACCCTGAGGGAAAGGTACTGGGACACATTCTGCAGTGGTCTGGGACTGGGAAAAGATCCAAGGAAGAATGATTCAGCCTTCACGAAGGGAGGCCAACACTATAAGAGACCAAGCTAGCCTCCCTACACGATAGATTCCCATTGGATTCAGCCCTCACGAAGGGAGGCCAACACTATAAGAGACCAAGCTAGCCTCCCTACACGATAGATTCCCATTGGCACTGGGCGCTGGCTAGCAGAGGAAGCCATAGCTGCGCCAACTTTGTTAGTAGTTGAAGGGTTAGTAGTAGGATATCAGTGAGTAGCATTCAGAGTAGATTCTCGTAAGTAGGGAGTGTGCATGCATGATGGGACGAGAGAATCATAACAGAGATCTTGAGAGGGAAGAGAGAGAGAGGACATGTTCCTAAGTTGGATATGGTGGATACTTACCTGCTGGCGCCATACCTGTGATCTGGGGCATACGCTGATTGAGCCAGGCCCTATGTTGGCGATTTGATTGAAGGAGACTTGTGATCTGTTGGCGCTGAACTCTTGAACTCGAGATACTCTTATATAATGTGATTTTGATAATGTGAGTTGCGCTATCTGGTTCTCATCTCATCTCGACTTGGCTTTGTGTGAAGCTTCTCTATCTGTGTGATGACATCTATGCATGCGATGTGTAACACTTCAGCAAGCTGTGAACAGTCAGGTTCCTTGCATAGCCATAGATTGACTAGGACTACCCTGAAAGTTATGAGCCATAGTAGGCTCGCTAGCTTGGTTGGTTTTGTGCAGAAGATCGAGGACCAGGCTGGATTGATGTTGGGTATTGGAACCGAGGTTTCTTCTTTTTCCCATCTATTTTGCAGTAAGGTTGGTATTGAGGTTGGTTTTGATAGCAGCCTATAGCCCAGTTTAGGGGTGTAGTCGGTTAACTTGTGGCGGTGTTCTACGAGGCAATGGGGGTTTGATGTACTCCAGGACCACTCAGTTGGGTCGATTTCCAGGTAGCATAGTTCTGTTTCTGGCTTGTAGACCCTGTTTCTGTCCCGTTCGATTACTCTGATTCTTCTGAGGGTACTTACCTTAAAGGCTCCTTCTGCTCTGCTTTCTTTGCTGAGGAAACTAGCCGGGTTACCTGGTTCTTCTAGGGCAAAGATGGAGCATATAATCCACTCTTTGTTGAATTGCCCGTAGTTGATTATTTTGAGGACCTCCTGGGTTGTTGTTTGTCCCTTTTGTGCTGCCCAGTCTCCCCCCACCCATAACTGGGTTGATCTCAGTAGTAGTCTCCAATCCATAGGTATACTGTCTATGATCGTGGATATGTTGGTTTGTAGATTGTGGCTTCCTTTCAAGGTTGTCCTTAGTTCTCTCTCGGATTTCCAGGTCTTTGTGTCCTCGTTCCACAGATGTTGGATCTGCCACACCCCCTTTTCTAGCCAGTTGCCCCATTTGGTGTTGGCTGTGTTGAGTTGAATACTGCGACCGTTCTCATCTGAGATCCAGGGATTGCCGAAAATTGGTTGTCTGAAGACTTCGTCTCTTCTTTTGGGGCCTATTCTGTTTTTTGGGAAAACCTTTCTCCATTGGAGTATGAGCTGTTCTCAAAAGGATTTGTTGTTGTTTGAGTTCTCTTTGTCCCCTTCGTACCCTGCTTCCTGTCGGTGGTTCTTTTTTCTGGAATCTTTGGGGGGGGGACCAGTTTGGGTTGAAGATCCAGTAGAGGCTTGACATGCCCGGGGGGGATTGAAAGGGCGCCAAATCTCTGATGTGGTTGAGGGCCAACTGCACCCATTGTAGGTTGTCCTGTAGTGTTAGCCTGATGATCCATTTTATTTGGAGAACTTGTGTTTGGCGAGCTGCGTCTATGACACCTAGTTCGCCTTTTCCCTTGGGTAGTGTGACTGCTTTCCATGCTACTTTGTGTATGAAGTGCTGGTTTTTCGGATTTCCTGTCCATAGGAAGGCTGCTGCCCTATGACGGATGTGCTCTTGGAATTCCAGTGAGGGAATCCAGATTGACGTGGCATACCACATCATTGCCAAGATTGAGTGTTTAAGGCTGGAGTTCTGCCGAGTAGGGAGGTATATGCCCCTTGCCACTTGTGCATTCTGTTGGTCATTGGGGCCATCAGGGACTGGGCTGATATTGGGTGACTGCCCTTTGAGCTGATGTTAATTCCCAAGAAGCGGATGGGAGCTGAGGGATCTGGCCATTGTAGGCCGTCCGGGGATAATTCTATGGGGGCGGGGGGGTCTGCTATCCACCAACTGACCATTTTCGACCAGTTGACTTTAATTTCCGAGGCCAGTTGAAATGCTTGCATTGCTCTCGTTAATGCTTGGATTAGGACTGTGAGGTCCTCGGGGAATAGGAGGGTGGTTGGTAAGTTAAGGATTTGACCTCTTTCGTCCCTAATGTTATTCAGAAGTTCTATTGATAAGTCTTTTCTCAGGAAGGGTGCGACGACTTCCATGACAAAGAGGAAGATAGGGGCCGCTAAAGAGTCTCCCTGTCTCACCGATCTCGACATCTTGTAGGGGTTTGAGAGGAAGCCGTTGATTTGCACTATGCCCTGAGCATCATTGTAAAGGATTCTTACCCATTTTCTGAAACCGTGGCCCACTCCCATTTTTTCCATACACATTTGGAGGAGGTCCCAGTTAACCTAGTCGTATGCCTTCTCGAAGTCGAAGAATAGGATGGCTGCAACAATCTTCTTTTGATTGATTATTCTGGTGGACTCGCAAAGGGTAATCACGTTGTCTAGAATGAGTCGTCCCGGGATAAAGCCCGTTTGGTCCAGGTGGAAGCAGTTTCCTGTTATTCGATTGATTCTAGTGGCTAGGAGTGCGGCTAGGATCTTGTACGCCACATTTAGGAGGGAGATGGCCTGTAGTTCCTTATGTCCTCCTTATTTCCTTTCTTATATAGCAGCGTGACTACCCCTGTGCTTAGGTCGGGTCCTAAGGACTCCTGTTCCCAGGCCCTATTTAGAAATCTGAGGAGGAGAGGGCCTAGTGTGGGCCAGCTTGCTTCCCATAATTCCTTTGATAGTCTGTCTCTGCCTGGGGCTTTATTGGAGTTTAGGTCTCTTAGTGCTTCATGTAATTCCTTCAGGGAAATGGGTGAGTCCAGAGTGTTTGATGTATCTGCGGACAGCGTGCGCTCGAGGTGGGTCAAGAATTTGTCCCTAGCTCTTTGTATATCATTGTTGCGTACAGTCGGAGTTTTGCTCGTGTAGAGGTCTTTGTAAAAGTTAGCTGCTATGTTGACGAGTTGTGTGGTTTCCGTAGCTGGTCTACCGTGCTCATCTGACAAGCTTTCTATTTTTCAATTCCTTGAGTTCGACTTGATTTTCTGAAAGAAGTAGTTTGACATTTTCTCGTTCAGTTCCCAGTCCCTTACTCTCGCTCTTAGTTGCAGGGCTTTGAGTTTAAGTTTGGTCCATTCTGCTCGCTCTTATCATAACTCTTATGACCCTTCAAAAAAGGGAAGGCCTGTCTGGTGAGATACTTGCATCCTGGCAGTCTGAACCTGATATGATTAGCAAATTAGCAATACAAACATTCCACATTTCTAGCTCCTTTGACCCCCTCCCTATTTCTCTCTCTTATTGGTACAGACCCTGTTGTGTTCCATCACACATGTTCTTTCTTGTTTTGGTGCAGAGTCTGCAGACCCCTTGCACTCTAATATGATATGATGCTACCCTTCCTTTCCTTGTTTTTTTTGTTACCCAATACAACCCATCCATTGTGTGCCGTTTTGTCTCCTAGAAATTTCTTGTTTATCCATTCCGCTGTATCCCCAAAGTACACGAAAGGTTGACTGCAAAATTAATGCGCCTGGTCATGATTCTGATAACTTGCGGAGAAGACATGGGTTTCTGAGACTTGCTAGTGTTGATGTCTTGCTTGTTGAATGTTTGTGCTGTCTCTCTTCAGCGGTTGCAATGTGCTGAAGGTGCAAGACAAGGTGGATGAGATGAAAAACAGTATCTACTGAAAAAAATGGCAATGACAAAGTGGAGATAGACTTTAAAAGTTCGATTCAAAGTTCCAGATGACCAATATAGAGCTGAAGCTGACGAAGACCTTGTGTTCTCAGAAGCACTGAGGTCATCTGTACACTGCAGCTCAATACTCATTAACCTGGATCACCTAATTCAAATCAAATCCAGTGGTTTTCCTCAGTAATCCAACCCCTGCATCTACTCTCAATGCAAGTCTATCTGCTGGAACAGCTCAAGTGGCCACACTGGGCTGAAGGGTTTGACAGCCAGATCCCTGAGCCATATGTTCAGCATTTTTTCTGTAAATCACCACTATTGTGCCAAGCTAAGAGGGCCAACCCTCCAGTCAACCTGGTGCCAGCTTGGCGGTCCAAGACGGTGGGGGCAAAAAAATTGAGTTTCCCAGCTTGTGCAGCTTTTTCAGCCTTTTGCCCTTATCTCCTTCTGTAAAAAAGCCTGAAAAAAACTTTGGATGTAGGGTACATGTGAAACGGTTTTCACCTTTTAGCAGTAGCGGATGCAGTACCCAGGGTTAGATCCTTAGACCTCACCCTACCCATGTACAGTATCTGTGTAGACCCCGGGAATTGAACCTGTGACCTGTGTATTTGTAGGCAGCTGGTAGGCCTGTCGTAAGTCCATAGGCAGCAGGGGTTCGATCTGTAGGTCTATAGCGTAGGAGTCTTAGTGAGTTCCGGAAGCTTAGCTGTAGACCTTCTAGAAGGTAGGCAAGTGGGCAAGTGGTCAAGTGGTGAGGCAAGTGGTGGACTAAACCGCAGTGCAAC